CTACTAGTATCCATGGGGATCCATAGGGAGTCCCCGCTACACGTGAACCACTCACATTAATAACTTAATTCTATGGCCGTCCCCATACCCTGTCCGATATGGGCGCCAAAACCATAAACCTTAATACCCCGTCCGGTATGAAGGTGAAACGGGTCATCCCCATACCCCGTCTGGTATGGGTGCCAAAATACAAAGTCTCCATACCCCGTCCAATATGAGAGACCACGTTCCCGGTAGGGTTCCCTATGGACCCGGTCCGTCTACCATCTCTCAGGATATCTAGTGAGGCTGTCGATATTATTCATTATCAATTCACATACTTTTTTACCATTTTTCTTAATCTCAATTATCCAATCAAACATAAACATGTAAACCAGTAATAGACACCAAATAAGGCAACACAACATCGGATTCACAATAATTCAAAGTATAATAAATGAAACTGTGATTCATGCATATGAAACCATAGAATAAATACATCAGGCACCATACTGCATTCAAAACTGTAAAATAAATCAAACAAGACCTAACCGAAAAATACATCAAATTCAAGCTCCATTAGCAACTTTAATTAATTATACATATCTATTAATTCATAAATATCGTTTTATCATTTATTAAGTTTTAATGCCGTAATAGGAAATAGGGTGAGAGATCCTTACTTGTTTCGGAGTCTGAAATCGGGTTCTCACTACGCCTACGGGCAGTCCCTAAATTCCCTGAATTTTTTTCCGGAAACTGAAACACATTTCTGGTACCTGCACATGTCCCCAAAAAACTCCAAATCAGACACAGGGCCCTTTCGGCCAATTTCGAAACTCTAGCACGGCAGCGATTCGCCTCGGGTTAGCCGTTTTTGGCTGTTTTCGGCCGAATTCGGCCAAACTTGCATTGGTTCCTGTGATAAAACACCCCCTAAGGCACTCGGTGGGCCAAAAAATTTCAGAAAATCGAGACTTACCGGCGGCGAAGCTCTCGGGTACAGTGGCTCCTCCGGCGCGAGTTGCGATTCGGTGTTTTGCTCCGGTCAACCTGTAGAGAAAAGGACGGTGGTCACAGTGGTATAAAAAATACATCGAACGGAAAACAGAAAGGGCTCATCGGAGGTAAAAATCGAAGAAATTTGCGGCGGCACCGCTGGACTTCGGCGGTGTTTTCTGGCCAATCGGCTGGTGGTTTGGCTCCGATTTGACCACAGGGAGGTCAGCATTGAAAAACGAGCCAATG